GTGTTTAAAGGTTTTGTTGAGTTTATGGGTTTTGTTGTGGTTTTAAGGGCTTTATTTACAATTTGAAGCTCAATAAAAACCCTTAAAACAAAAAATACAATTCTGCTTTTTTTATGTGTTGTAAAGGGAACGTAGAACTTTCAAATGACAAAATAATTGTGACAATATATTTACTACCCCTTGAGATTCTGGGCCACTTGACAGACCAGAGAAAGAAATTTTGTTTGGAATTCGTCCCAAGTCAAGTCAAGTCAAGTGGCTTTTATTGTCATTTTGACCATATACAGTAATTCAGTACATTGTGAAACGAGACAGCATTCCTCCAGGACCATGGTACTACATATAACACTACATCGACACAGGACTACATAAAGTGCAAGTGTACAAAAAGTGCAGACACTGCAAAAACAGTGTGACACGAGAAAAAATAGAAGAGATGATAGTAGGTAAGTCAGGCTAAGTGTAAAGTGCGACAGTGCAATGGGTTGTGCAAAAAGTTATTGAGCTAGTGAACTGGGTAAATGACCGAGGTGAAATCAGTTTTAGGTTGGATATTCGACGGATATTCAGATCCACACTCTCCAGATTTAGCGGCAGGGCATCACTCATGCTAGCCGGCAAAAGGCGGTCGAAAGATGGCCAGATCAATTCCACAGCCTCGGAGGCACTCGCGCACCGATGATTTAGGGACCGTCAACGAATTACTGTCAGAATAATAACATACTGATTGCTTTCAATAACTTCAATGCAATGGGACCCAGTAACTCCAAATTGAGTGCATATTCTGCAACTACCTGACATGCACAGGACACAGTGAACTTTACTAATTTTTAACAATTTATTGCATTTTCAATTATCATTTTAAAAGGAATAAGTGGGTAAATAGATTTCTTTCAATAGCTTCTAGGCAATGGGAGCTTATGACAACCAAATGGGTGCAAATTATGCTACTACCTCAAGCCTATAGGACACAGCAACGTTCATTCGATTTTAACCCTTTGTTTACTTGATATGATTTTTTTTTTTTTATAAAATTAGGCCTTTTTTTTCAATAGCTCCTAGGCTGTAGGAGCCTGTGACCCAAAACCTAGTACCAATTGTAGTACTACCTTAGTCCTATAGGACACAGCAACTTTCATTCAAGTTTAACCCTTTGTGTACTTGATATGATTTTTTTTCCTCTAAAATTAGGCCTCCTCAAGTCGTTAGCACTTGATGGTCACCTGTGGGTTGTTGTTGTTCACCCTGGCTTTCATGTGTTTCACTGGTCCCACCTGAGGCCGAGTGTGAACGACTGTGGAAGCATCTGGGCAAAGTTGAAAGAACTGCATTGTAGGTGGATGATAGATTATGTCTAAGGCCACCTTCTCTGTTCAACGACGGTCGTTCATTTGAACCAGTTGTCCTCCCGGTCCACCTACAATGCAATACTTTCAACTTTGCCCAGACGCTTCCACAGTCGTGTGTAGAACTGGATCAGCGGTTCCTGTGGGGTGGAGGGGTGAGCAAATACATCTATCATTGCAGCTTAGTTTTGTTTTATCCTGCATTTCATTCTTAAGCATATAAGTGCTTCACTAAAGACATGAGGGGGGTTTGCTAGCTACGAATGAAGACAGGTCATTTTATTTCTCCCCAAAATATATCGAGGCTGAACTTACAGATTTGGGGCCCCCTAGTGGCTGCTGCGGCCTTATGCATCTGCATAGTCCACATAAGGTAAGAAACGGCCCTGGGGGCAGCTTCACGGAGCTGGCTGAGCCATCAACCTCTTTCACTGTCTAAATGAGCTGAATGACACTACCCTGGTGGAGGAAATCCAGAATTACCTACATTCAGGTTCCCCCATGGACACTGAGCTGTCCCCAGACCAGTGTTCAGCACTGGCCTACGTCCTGCTGATGTCCACGGACGTGTTGGAGGACTTTGACCTTTCTGCATACAACAGCACAGCAGCGGGGCGGAGACGACTACTGCCTGTCCTCAAGTTCTGCAAAAGAGCCTGGTAAGTCACCACAGCAACACCGAGCTTGTTGGTATGTTT